GGTTTTGGGGTTTAGGGTACAGGGTTCGGGGCTTGGGGGTTTAGGTTACAGTCTAGGGTTTAGCGCTTGGGTCTAGGGTCTTGGGGTCTAGTGGAGGCTTTACGGGTTGTCAAGGCCCCTTGTCAAGGACTGCAGTCCAGCTGGCTTTGAATGTGCGGGTCTTGCGAGTTCAGCAGGTAGAAGATGCTCAGCACAAACCTCGCAACGGGAAAGCATTCAAAGCTTCAACTTATCATCTTATGTGATTTTGGTGTCTTGGTTTCTGGGCTTTGAACCTGAGGAGTTTAAGATACAGGCCTCGTGGCTTACGGGTTAAGCGCGAAACTCTGCGTGTGTGTGTGTGATCGCGAGCTCATGTTGAGGAGGTTTCAGGTTAAGGGGCGCCCTTGAAGATCCGAGCCCAAACCCTCAACTAACATCTCTCAAACATCTGCCTGGAACCGCTGTACCCCGACATCCATTACCCTTGACATCCCTTGACTCTCTACCTGGCTCTACCTCAAACCCCCCTGAAGGCCCTGAACCCACCAGATAAAATCAGCCAGAAGGCGCCACACTGCCAATCAGCATGAGCGAGAGGGCGAAAGCTGCATCATCGCCGGCGTCCATGGCGACAATCGGCAAGAGAACCGAAACCCCAAACCTTCAAAGAGCAACCTCTTTAGAAAGCCCCGGAAAGTGACTCAAGGCCCAGGCGCCTGCGCCCGAGAGGCTCGAAACCACTGACTGAAGAAAGTGCGACTAGCAAGAAGCTCAACTCTATGAGCGGCTGTAGTCCTGCGTAGATGATGCCACATGTGGTGAGTGAAGCCGAGCGAGTGCCATCGGATGTGGGGATGTCGCGGGAAAGCTGCTGAAACAAATCCAACCTCTGACCGGGGGCTTCCGGCTTGGAATCCTGCAGCAGCTGCGAGCGGCAGCATGGCATCTAAGACTGCCCTTTCTACCCTTCTTTGGGTTGTTGAGGAGCACCAGCAAAACGCGAAGCATCCCTGATTGCTCCATTTCGAAGAGCCCCCTAACTTTAAACTTTAACTCAGCCTTTACAGGTAGGAATTCTCACAGAAAACCCTGCGGAACCCTTACCGAAATCCTCAAGCCCAGAGATCGCAGGCCTCCCGCAGTCTTTACATCACTGGCTCTGCTTTGGCATGGCGACAGCCATCCTCAAAAAGGGCGGAAAGCTAGGGCCAACACACGTACCTTCATGATAAGGAGCATGGCTTCGGGACATGTTGTACTAGTGCCTGTGTAGGGGAACCTTGAAACATTCATACATGGATAATTATTGATAGTTCTGAGCTCTCAGACCTCTATGTTGCCGTTTATGCCGTTTTGTGTTTAGGTTTAGGGTTTGAGGGTGTTGGAAGGCTTTCAAAGGCTTATAGGGTTCCGTTTTACGGTCTAGGGTTTTCGGGTTCCGCTTCGGGGTAGGCGTTTTAGGGTTTGCCGTGGCTTTCAAGACACCGCAAATCCACACTTCACAGAGGTCTTGTAACCCCAACTTCAATCCTTGTTATCAGCGGACATTTGTGCTGTTCTCTCGGGCATTGGCGTTCTCGATTGGTGTGCAGGATTGATCTAGCTTAGCCTATGTAGGGAAACTTTGAAACATGACTACATGGAATTTGACAGTACTGAACACTCAGACCTCTGTATTGCCATGTTGGGTTTTGGTTTGGGGTTTGGGGGTGTTGGAAGGCTTGCAAAGGCTTATAGAGTTCAGGTTTACGGTCTAGGGGAATCGGGTGCAGCTTCGACTTCGGAGGTCAGGCAGGGCCTGGTTGAGTTCGGAGTCCTCATAGAGATTTGCGTCTGGTGGTGGTTGGAAGAGACTCGAACGAGACTTCCGCTATTGACGCCCGGTGGTAAAATGCATACCCGGATTCTGGTGAACATAATTACGACTTATTGCATGTCAGTAGACGCGCCATCGAAGACGGAGCAAAGTAAGATGAATCATCTTCCTACGCAATGTGTGTAGGCCCACGGTAAGCCCCAAAGGCTACATGGTAAATGCCAACCCCTACCTTGCCTCCCCTCCACGTTTACATGACTTCTTAAGCTCTATCCAAGCAGACAGGCTTGAAAGTACTGGGGCTCTTGGTTGGAATCCTGTTGAGGGGGCATGCGATTTGAGGAGCTAGATTCGGTACGATTTGGCATGTGGCTTAGGCTTGGGCTTTCGTGAGCTTGCTCAAAATGGTTTGGGGGGTTCAATAACTATCACAATGAAGATCCCGGTCGACAGCTCTTTGTTTTGGGAAAGCCAAACATCCTAGCAGCATGTGCTTTGCACCGCCTCTGCTGAACCAATGCTTGCAACAGTGGACAAAGTAAGTCAGCAAGTGCGGCAGCCAGGTAGAACGACATGATGCCGCCAGGATGCCATTTCACAACAAACTGCGTCATGTTAGAGGATGTTCCGGAACGTCCTGTTTCCACTTCTGCAGCAATTGCACCATGGCAGGATCCAGCTTGTCGCCCTGCTCGTGCGCCAGTTGGAGGGCAGTCCTTCCCTCGTCATCCCGGGCCTGCACATCTGCCTTGCCCTTCAAGAGTACGTGTACCATGTCCTTCGCAAGCTTGTAGTTCCTCCTGCCAAGCGCAGGATGATCAATTCCCCTGCCAACTGCAAAGTATGAGATGGCCAGATGCAGCGGGGTGTTGCCAAACTTATCCCTGGCATGGACGTCGGCATTCTTCATGAGCAGAAGCTCTACCATTGCCACACCCCCGTGCTGCGCCGCGTGGTGCAGGGCGGTGTTGCCTCCAAAGGGCTCCTGGCAAGAGCTGAAGGGTTTAGGGCCAGGGTTCAGGGCCTAAACGTTTAGGGTTTAGGAACATGATCATGATGCTGCCACCTATTGAGGAGCAGGAGGGGAAGCAGCATAGCAACAATGACAGTAAGTAGGACCTCCTCGTACTACTACTCCTGCTGATTCTCTTCTCCTCTGCTACGACTCCTCCTAGTACTGCTACTGCTACTGCTTTACGACCACCACCACCACTACCACTACCACCACCACTGCCACTGCCACTCCCACTCCACTCCCACTCCCACTCCCACTCCCCCTCCGACTCCTCCTCCTCCTCCTCCTCCTCCTACTACTACTACTACTACTACTACGCGACGACGACTACTACTACTACCACCACTACTACTACTACTACCACCACCACTACCACTACCACTACCACTACCACTACCAACTACCACTACTCCGCCTTCTCCTCCTGCTAATCCTGCTACTACCATCACTACTACCACTTCCCCCTTCTGCTGCTTCTGCTGCTTCTTCTGCTTCTGCTGCGACCGCGACTGCTACTGCGACTGCCGCTGCGACAGCCACTGCTATTGCGGCGACAACTGCTAGGGACGACAGCCACCGCTGCCGCTACCACTGCTGCCGCATCTACTGCCACGAAACCTTAGACCTGAAACCCTGTAAACCCGAGTTCTTGAACCCTGAAACATTCCCAACCTGGTAGCGAAGGTCTGCCTTTTCCTCCAGCAAGCGACCCACCACGTCATCCTGAGCTGGCACCTTAAATCCTCACGAAGATACAAGTATTGCAAAATCGGAAAATGAAACACCTAGGACCTAAACCTACCAAGGCTCCCTGCGGAAGCATGTTGCGTCGGCCAGTTCATCGTCTTTCTTGTGTTGCTTCATTTTCGCCTGCTGGGGGTGTTTATGCTTTAGTTAGGGTTTGGGGTTGCAGGGTTCTTGATTTGTGCTGTGGTGCAGGGTTGTGATTGGGGGGTTGAGGGCTAGGGCGTAGAGGTGGACGAAGGCACTGCACTAGAATCCCAAGCCCGAGTCAAGCCCAGTTCAAGCTACCAAGAAGGATAGGTTGTAGGAAAGACTGTGTGTTCCTGTCCATGGCAACTTAAAACTTAAAACCCATCATCCTAAACCCTATAAAATTTACACCCTGAGCCGCTCTGAGGTCTGAAGTCTCCAATAAAAAGCATCCGAAAGTCTCCAAGAAGCCTCCTGGAAGCCTTTCACCCACCGGGCCAGGCGCTCATCGAGTTCGCAGTTGGACTCCGGACAGTCCATGCCTGGCTGAACTTTATCGTCCGTTTAGGGATTAGGGTCTAGGGTTTGGAGTCTGAGGTTTGGGGTTGGGCTTTCGGGCTTTTTTGGGCTTTAGTTGAAGCTACCAAAACCAGGAAACCATTCCATTCACGATGGAATATCGCATTCAAAGCCCAGAAGCACTGCCAGGTGAGGCGAGACCTGGTGCAAAAATCGCTTGCGCTCCAGAACTCCTGCCATGGAAATGTGCCGTGAACCGTCTAGATGTTATCGCTCATGCTGCCTGTCCCCGCGATGGGTAGCAAAACTCAGCATGACGACAATGATGCTTGCGAGAGTAGTCGTAGTAGGAGTGGCGGAAAATGGGTCAGGGTGGTACCGAGGATAACATCCCGCATAGTGTTGGCGGTAGTGGTGGCAATCGCACGGGAAGTCGTAGTCGTCGTCAGGCGCAGAAGCAGCGCAACAATATAACAGCAGGAACGGCAGCAAGTGAGTAGTACTTGTAGTAGTCGTCGGCGTCGACAAGAGCAGCAGCGGCAGCAGCAGCAGCAGTAGTAGCATCAGCAGTAGTATCAGCAGCAGCAGATCGTCGCCGCAGTAGTAGGGCAGCAGGAGCGGCAGCAGAACGAGGAGCAGCAGTAATACATCGTCGTATCGTCGTAGCAGTACCAGTAGCAGTGGCAGTAGCAGCAGCATTAGCAGGAGGAGCAGCAGCACCAGCAGCAGCAGCAGCAGCAGTAGCAGTAGCTCAGTAGCTCAGTAGCTCAGTAGCTCAGTAGCTCAGTAGCTCAGTAGCTCAGTAGCACTAGCAGTAGCAGGAGTAGCAGTAGCGTAGTAGCGCAGTAGCAGTAGCAGTCGTAGCCGTCCTCGTAGGAGTAGGAGGAGTAGTAGTAGTAGTCGTCGTCGTCGTCGTAGTAGTAGTAGCAGCAGTAGTAGGAGTAGGAGTAGGAGTAGGAGTAATAGTAATAGGAATATAGTAATGTAGTGATATAGTAATAATAATATAGTATAATATAGCAATATAGCAATATAGTATTGTAGTACTGTAGTAATACAGTAATATCGTAATATACTAATATAGTAGTATAATGATATAGTAATATAGTATTATAGTATTATCGCAATATAGTATCTTGGTATTTTGGTATTTTAGTATTATAGTATTATAGTATTATGTTATTATAGTATTATAGCATTATAGTATTATAGTATTAGCGTAATAGTAATAATTAATGATAGTTAATAGTTGATAGTTATTAGTGAATATTATAGTATTATAGTATTATCGTAATAGTAAAATTAATGATAGGAAATAGTTGATAGTTATTAGTGAATAGCTAATCATTCATAGTTAATAGTTAGTAGTTAATAGTTAATAATCAATAGTAAATAAATAGCTAATAGTTAATAGTTAATAGTAACAGTCATAGTAATAGTAGTTGTACAACAGTGGTAGAAGTGGTACTAGTAGCTGGCGGCGGAGGAGGAGGAGGTAGCAGCAGCAGTACCGGCAAAAAAAGAACATGTGCGGAAATAGCAGTAGTAAGCAGTGTCCCCAATGGCAGTGCCAAAGCTTATACTGATGTTATGAAAGATGAGTGGTGACGGTACAGGCAGTAGCACCAAATTAAGCATCATGAGACAAGCAACAACAACTCGCAGTAGAAACTGGCAAGGAAGAGGAAGAGGAATGGCAGCGCTGATTCAACAATGGAACCGGAATGCAAATAGGCACATGAACAGGAACAGTGCTAGCAAAGGCAACAGCAACAATCAGCAACAGAATCCACACTAGCCATGGTGACAATAGACGTGGTGACACTGTCTATATGAGAAAAAGCCGTTGCGATACTGATAATGCTGCTTCTGATAGTAGTACTGGTAAGAAAATGTCCGATCTCTCCCGGACAAGACACACGACATCAGAAGAACCATGTCAATTCGCAAAGGCATTGACTTTTCGGGTCCTTCTTTTTGTCAAAAAACCAAGGTTTCAGAGCTCCAAACATCTGCCTGCGCAGCGCCGGGCTCGTCCGGGCACACGTGCCTTTCAAGTCGATGAGGAGCACGGTGGGAGACCAGTAGCCCAGGCCCCACGCCGCAAGCCCCAGCGTCGGCACCTCGTATTTGAAGAGAACTGACCTTTGCAAGGAGCGCTCGCCCTCAAACGCCTTATTCACCAAAGCAACGATGGCGTTCTGACCTTTCTCTCGCATGCCGGAGACGAAGGCAAAGCTTGCCAGCTTCCACATGTTGTCCGCCAGTTCCTTCCCCGTGGTGTCGGAGCAGTGGTCCAACATTCCATGCTTTTCGACGAGAGTTCCCAGAACTGTGTCAGGATGCACAGTGTCGTGCTCGGTTCGCAACGCAAACTCGGAGAGTTTCTGGCGCGAGGTCCTGCTCTCGCTGCCTTGTGGATCCTGAGGATTCGTCCAGAAACCAGCCCAAATAAGTGCGTCCTTTTTGGCAATCGCCAGTGGCACGAGCCACCAGGTAAGGAAATGCAGGCTCTGCACTAAGGGTAGAGTCGCCTCTGGCACCTTGAGATTTAGCATCTGCTCCTGGGGCACGCGATAGGCGCCGACCAAGTCCTCGCCGTGAAGGAAGATGTCTTCGACACTCTCCGTGCAGGTCTTCGGCTTCAATCCAGGGAAGAACATATCGTTCAATGCCTTTTCCACCTGTCCACCCGGTACCTTTTCGACACAGGCAGCGATGAGAGCTCTCAGGAGTCCGCCCAACTGTTGCTGGCAAGTAGCGTTGCCGGCTCCCGCATCCAAGGCCCCTTGCAGAAAGAGGACGCTCCGTTCTCGGGGCGGCCTGAAGATGGGGTAACCTCCCAGGGAAAACCCTCTTTCCGGCAGCGTCTTGAGCAGCTCGCCCTGAATTTGCTCTGCGCCGGTCTCTTCCACCGCCCAGGCCGCCCGCAGCGCCTGCAACCGGTGGCTCAAAGTACCACCCAGGCAGGCCAGGAGCAGGACCAGGGAGAGAAGGGCCATATGCAGTGTTTCGCAAAAAACTACGTCATCTGCGAGCTTGCGAACCGAAATCGTTGGCATCTTCCTGCGATCTTCAAAGGGCCCTCACAAAGCCTGCGTCTTGTATGCAAGCTTGCAGCCCGGCCATGCGTTGCCTACGCCCTGAACTAACTTTAGGTTCAGAATTCAAGTCCTGTCGGAACCTTTTCCCCCCCCACCTCAGGATGCGTCGAATCTTCTTCGTTTCTGCCCGTACATGCCGATGCTGCTACTGTGTACTTCAGTGCGATAATGGCCATTTAGCTACGATTACTACCAGCAGCTGCAGGCAGCAACAGAGAACCAGCACTGTCACTAGTACCGATTTCCACGACGAGGACGAACGACGACGACGACGACAACGACGACGACCGC